TCACTGTAACTTACAAATCGTCAGCACTTCCTCCTAGCAGAATGTATCCTGTTCGATCTAAATTAGTCTACACAGTAAGATGTGACGTAACTACTGACCTGTTTACGTTCCCGGTGGAGCACTGAGCTCATTCTTTCAATTACAGTGACTCTTGCGAACTAATAAATAATCCATTTACTCAAACAAATCTTCGAAGAAATACTTAGAATTCTGCATAGTGTCTTCTAGTTTCATTAGCTATGTAATGAGATGACTGAATATTCAATACAAATTTTAAGACAGTTTTGTTGTATGGAGCGGAAACTCAGATAAGCAAGAAAGCCATCATTCGAATGATACGGACATTTATTAACAGCTGAATACGGAGGATGCGGAGGATGGGTTGACCAGAAACCATCAGCAGCAGCCTACTAAGACATAGAACAAACTAGATTCGAGATGAGTAAGAAATTAGGAAGAGGCTTTGGAAGTGGATTGAAATGCGTCGAGAAAAGCACACAACTACTTCATGAGGAATTCTCTAACATGTGATCCTCTTTGTCAGAGGTAAACCAGAATTAGGCCGATGAACATATTGCGCCGAGAATCGGAGACAGACAGGAAAATGTTTGTCTTCATTGAATCTATCAGCTTCTAAAATATTTTTTATAAAGAAAATTATTATTTCTAATATTTTATAATCATTGATAAATTTCTGACATTAGTAAAATTTCCATCTTGATTAGTTCACTAAATATTTGACACAATTAAATTAGAAAATACGAAATTCATATTTTTTTCCTTTATTGGTTTATTTACTTTCAGTTACATAAGAGTGGATTATGGTCCATTATGTACCTTGAATGTAGATGCTACTTGCGTAAGTCAACAACATACTAAAGTATTCAGTAAAGCGATGTCGTTATATTTTTCTGTGTAGAGGTTAACAACCAATATGTTTGATTGTGTCATATAATTATTATTGAAATAATGAACCGATCAATGTTAGAAACGTAGGAGCATTGAGCGGTTGTTCCGTTTGAGTATGTGACTCAGTAGCAGTGTGCATCCACGATTACTACTACTAGTATAAATTTAGCCAAAAACCTTCGGCCTAGTTAGCGAACGTTTAACGTCTAGACCATTTAGTCGGAACCCAACAGTGTTAATGTCTAACTTCAATCAGCTCGCAATAATCAGCAGTATCATTTTATATTTTTTGTGTGTAACTGTCTACACCTGACAAGGTTGGACTCCACTGGTCAAGTCTTCTCATCAGAACTGCGAGAAATTCCTATCGACACTAGTCACTAGTGAGCGTATTTTTATGATTTTGATCATAGATTCATCACTTCAATGATACTCAAAAAAATTCGCAATTCTATGCTGATAATAACACAATTATTAGCATTAAAATAAGTCAAAATTACTAAATGTTCATGGTTTATATCGCACACAACAGTTGAAAATCACAAAGCAATGAATGGATGTTTAAATCAAGTATGGCGCTCCTCTGAAGTTTATATTCATAAGCGTATCAAAGATCAGATCTTTTCGTCATCAGGTGTTCATGCATTATTACCAAGTGATTGAATCAAAGTATGCAAACCTCTGAATTTCGATTCAGGGATTTAGAGTTTAACTGCTGATGACAAGGCCCCAGAGACTCTCGTTCAATACTCATGTAGTGCCATGGATTTAGACTAGTGAAGAGTTTCATACTAGAAATAAAGTGGTGATCAGTGCTTTTCCATTTCTAATGACTTTCTGTCTGTTATATTAACTAGAGACTCTATTTTCTGTCTCATAATGCTTCCTTCTATAATCAACATTCTAAATATTTTTGAAATTTTGTAGACACATTTAATATATACTGTCTACCTGATGGGAGAGTGCAATGTGACTTCAGTGATTATTTATAATTTCCCAATGGTTTTTAACATCAGTGGCATTGCAAGAAACTTTTCTGTCCGTACGATGACATTCATTGTAACACCAAGCTTTCCGAAATATACACAAGTAAGCTTTGGTAGAATTACTCCAAAAATATTATTCTTATTTGTTTTCTCACTAATCTCATTCATTATTTTTGTTGACTGAATTCATTTGGATAATTGTCAAACTCACCTTCGACCATTACATTTACTTGAGTTGTACAATCGTATTTATAGGTAGGTTAATGTTTCGTTTATCACAAACGTTTTTGTAATCAAGAAAATTCTCAACGATCAAAAGTGGTACACCTACGTTGAATAAAGTTATTTTCGCATTGTTAAATTAAAACAATGGAAAACTATCAAAATTATTGAATATTGAAATAATTCGAAATGTTTTCATTAATTAATAATATAAGTATTGTTTTAGGTTATTTAGTAATATAATCAAAAATTATCAATACATTAAGTCACGGAATAAATTTTTCATAAAGTATGTCAAATAAAAACAACTGTCTACTTTGTAAGGGAATTAGTGAAAATGAGATCATTACATTAGAATCAGTATTAGGACCATGAAACTATCAGTGATTTCATGTGATTCGTTTAGACTAAGAGGTCTGGTTTGAACAGATGAATGACTGCAGCTTCAGTTGTGCATAAATTTCTAATAAAAACTAGTTTCGGTGACACGTGACCTGAGTTGACCATATGTTCAAGGTTGCATGAGTCATCGATTGTTATAGCACTATGTCAGGTCACTGCTCTGATATTTGTTTCAAAACAGTACATGTTTTGTACAGTCAATACCACTTGTCTCATCCTCTGGATAAGTTAACTGATAAATGAACCCATTAGGTAACCAAAAGTGACAGATAAATCGATTGATTTCATTTTTTTGAAACAGCTTCATTCTTGTTAATAAGTGAATGATTTTCTTGTTCGTTATTGATATTTTTCAACAAAATTATGAAGTAAATTTCTAACGAAAAAATTTTTCAATGTGATCGCTTTTAAAAATACCTCAAAAATAACTAACAACTAGTTGAAATCAATTCGCAATTATAAATGTACGCATTACATTAAAAAATGTATCATGGGAAATTGACTAAACATTGGAATCTGAAGCATCAACAAACGCAATACAAAAGAGCTTACTTAATCGATTGATTTCTCTCGTTAGTGCTGTTGTCTAATGAACTGAGCTAATCGCAATAATAAATATGAAACTATGAGAATATCATCTATTCAATCAAATTTATAAAGAATAGTCGATTTTGAAAAGAGCTAATATCGAATAACTAAATTTTCAATTAGGATTTTTGATAAGAGTTTATTTTGTAGAGTTGGTTTTCTACCGGTTGCGGCTGCCAACATCATGCCGAATCTTCCTCCTTTCTGTAGGCTTCGGATCGGCAGTAAACCTAGAACAGCTACAGACGAAGTTGAAATACCTAAATAATCAGACAATTGGGAATATTTCAATGATCACATCTTGGCCATATTAGTAGTTAGAAAACGTTCTTTGTTAAAATGATGCTTTAATTTGTTATTGTTATCATTATTACTTACCCATTCAGATAATAGTTCAATCCAAATCGAATAATGTAGCAATGCAACCAAGTGAAAGGAGAATCATTTCTATTGATTATATATTCCCATTGAATTCGAGCTATTCCAATTCTTCCATAAAAATTATTGGAACTGATGTCAATAGCAGTAGCAGTGAATCCATTATCAGTATCATTAATTTCAATATAAGTTTTGGTAGTAATTTAGCATCAATAACTAAGGATTACTCATTTAATTATTCATCAATTTACCAAACTAACCGAATGGATCAATTGATCATTTACTTTAAAAATATTCGTAATATTGGTAAGTGGAATTTGAAAAATATTCTACACTCATTCAATACAATGTATGACATAATAACTATGTATGTGCATATGATTTCATCAGCTGTTTTACGCCTGAGCTTCCTGTTTCTTCCTAACATCAAAATATTTCAATAATCGATTTCTTCTTGTGCTTTTACAAGTCAACGAAATCTATTAACCGCCTAATCTATTCAGGTGCGCATATAAAAGGTTTCAAGCGCTGTGACTTAACAAAGAATATAGTGGTATAACCCAAGTTTTCTCAGTGTCGGCTAGAAATGTGCTGTGACAAGCACTGATGTTAATAAAATATCGACTAGTTTCGTAAGAGTTCAACTGAGAAGCAATGCGTGGGGTTGCGCAGCATCGTGGATCGATTGAAGTTCGCAAACATGATATCATTGGATGCCTGCTCAGCGGTAGCGAGGTTACTCATTTGAGAGCGTGTAGTGCCTCCACATTTATTTGCATCCGCTTACATTTAATTTGCTTAAGCCCTTTCGATTAATTTATTTAACCAAGCCATTTGTATAGTAACAACTCATATGTACCATTGGTATTTTTTATTATCTGCTTTGTATGAGCTTGTACGACTGAGCATTGCTTACGCTTACGCACTTACTCATCCTTTTCGCTTTAATGTTAATCTCGTAATATTCCCATGAACTCACATGATTTGTATCGTTTGCTTTTGACCTTGTCAATCATTCGTCGCTTTTATTCATGTGTGTGCATACCTATTTCGCTTGTCATATGTCTGTCCTATTCTTATCTGACTATATATTCTTAGTCATACTCTATCTCTTGGAGTTGGCTCTTAGCCTTCTCCAATTCGCTTCTCCGCTTCGTTTTGTGGTGTGCCTCGAATAAACGTATACGATACTTGGAGTTCATCTTCTGATTTATAAATCGAGCTATAAGAACACGCAGTCAATCGGCACACTACAAGCGAAGCCAAATGTCGTGAGTTTGATTCTCTCATGCATCTGTCATGGATGCATACTATTTCACTAAGACGAGCGTCCGTTCAGTGCTTCAAGGTTTATGATAGTGATCGTACAGTATTCGATTCATCATATCAGTGAAATATATGGTTTGTTTACAGACGTACAACCAATGTGATTACTAAAAACTAGGTATAAATTCAAAACAGGTGAAAGACATATTTTGACTTTTCATTTCATTCAAGTTTGTTTTTATTTTACAGGTACGTCAAGTGTACCGCTAATGCGTAACACGCTTAGTCTTTCAGTGGAAATTCAATTGAGTGATAGTAAAACTGTAGAAAATGGAACTATTTGGCCAATACAATTCACAGGTCAATTTAATACTGTGACAAATCTTACTAAACTATTTATTACTTGTTTGAGAAATGCTTTGGAAAAACCATCAATCAATGTTATACCATCACAGTTGTCATTATTCACTCTCACTGACTGTCCTGATAGGTATGTTCAAAACATGCACTTGATAACTATTTAACATTTATACATTTCAATAGTTGGCTTACCTATAAGCCAGAAAACAATGGAAAATGGCCGCCTAATATCTGGGATTGATTGAAGTTGGAACTTAACACTATGGAATATTGTCAGTGTGGTCTAGAGGTTAATTATCCATATGGCAGAGCAAAGTTATTTGGTTTAAATACTTTCACTTGGTTAATAGATGTGTACTAATGAGGAGTCTCGTACCAGAATGAATACGCTATTCACTGTCTTCGGGTTTTCAACAGCGGTCTAATTTAGGTTGGTTCGTGATTTCAGTATACTCGCTCGAATTATAAAGAGCCTAAATGCAATTCAGGGTGCATTTCTTAAGAAGAAGTATTATTGAACGATTTAGCAATTTTCTCATTTTTTTCTCAAAAAATGAATCGTCCAGTTCCTGTATTCTCACTATTAGAGAAACGAATTTCGTCTGGACCATTTGTCAAATATGCTTCGAATCTGTTTCATAAAATGTGACTACAGTTCATCAGAACACTACCTCTGAATATCAACCTTTTGACATTTGATAAACAGTTGTTCATCCAAGACAAAATGGTTGCGTAAAACATATCTGGTACCAGAAAGAATATTAATGGATTCCTTAAGTGTGTTTAGTGAATGATGAAATCATAATTTCTAGTGCAGATCACCAAGTTGAGTCACTCAGTTTAGTTAAGTTTCTAATTATGCAAAGTTACATTGTATATATTAGCCTGTTTTTGTTTGATTTTATTACTCAGAGATCAAGTTTATCTTCAAACTTTAGTCCAAATGATGGATGGTACAGGATTAGAATGTGAGAGGCAATCCATAATTTTATATCTCAGTCCACAAATAAAATCAGTCAGTGTAGTTAATCAAGCAGGTACTAATAATAATGTAACACTGAAAACACCATTGCATCCAATAAGTAAATCAGTTCAATTCCAAGTAAGTTTCAATGTGTCTTAATATTGATTACAATGAACTAATGAACCAAAGTATTTTAAAGGGAATTGATAATCTCTATGTACTTACTTACTTACTTGCGCCTGTTATCTCCAATGGAGCATAGGCCGCCCACCAGTTTTCTCCTGAGCTTCCCACTCCAGTTCTGTCCAATTGTTGTATATTCTCCTCATATCTTTCTCTATTTCTCGGCGTAATATGTTCCTTGCCCTTCCACTTTTCCACTTGCCTTGAGAGTTCCATGTGAGGGATTCCCTCGTGACGCAGTTAGGGGCTTTTCGCAGTGTGTGTCCTATCCACTTCCACCGCTTCTTACTGATTTCCTACTCTACTGGAATCTGGTTTGTTCTCTCCCGAAGTACGTTGTTGTTGATGGTGTCTGGCCAACGAATCCGAAGCATTTTGCGTGGAAAACTGTTAATAAACACTTTTATCTTCTTCATTACGGCTTTGGTACAAGTTCCCGCTCCATACATTATAACTGTCTTGACATTTGTATTGAAAATCCTGATTTTGGTTTTGGTTGAAAGTTGTTTGGAATTCCAGATATTTTTCAACTGTAGAAATGGAGCCCTTGCTTTTCCAATCCGCACCCTCACATCTGCATTGGATCCACCTTGGTTGTCGATGATGCTGACCAGATATGTAAAGGTGTTAACGTCATCAAAGGCATCTCCTTCAAGAGTGATTTGGTTGGTGCATGTTGTGTTGCATCAGAGAATTTCGCTTTTTCTTTTATGTATGTTGAGACCTGCTGCTGCACAGGCCAATGCTACACTGGTCGTCTTATCTTGCATTTGTTGTGGCGTGTGTGATAGAAAAGGAAGGTCATCTGCGACGTGCAGATCGTTCAGCTTCGTCCTAACTGTCCACTGAATACCCTGCTTCCCTTCAGATGCCCAGTAGGTTCAAATAGCGTAGTTATAATTTGTATGTGATGTTTATGAAATACTCTAAACCCTGAATTCAAAATCATGTGCACAATTAACTGATTTCGGTGTACAGAGTAATGCTAAATATGTCAGGTTCTTTTTAATTTTGATTAACGTTTCATAGATGAAATAGTCATTTAATGTAAGTGATTAAAATTCCCGAAATTATATCTTGCTAATGGGTGCTGAAAAGAAAAACTCCATGATTTCCTGTTGATAATGTTCAATCATGATATTTATTTAAACAAACGAAATGACAAGCGACTTTCGAAAAAATAATTTTTTCAGCGGTTTGGAATTTATGTATGACCATTGTATGACCATTGTATGACCATTCAGTATTCTAGTAATGTTGTTTAATATTGGATTTTTTGAACTATACAACATCGGCTTCTATCATGGAATGATAATTATTGAACAAGTAATTGACAAGTGTTTCGTTCCAGTTGCCGACTCATCAGGAGGTTGATATCATTCGATTAATGTTATGTAATATAGAATGACAATCTTTTCTGTCGATTCTTCTGACTCATGGAACAATTATTCTCGTTTCAATAGTTGAATTTATCGTTCAGGACAATTTCTTTCTAAACCACAAGTGACATTTGAGACTACGTAGTCAACAATGGTCAGTGGAAATTACATCTTACCTACTAACCTACAGACTGACTTACTGATTTACTAACACCTGTTAGTTCTCATGGATCATAGACATATTGTAACTGTAGAACATTTAAAGCATTCCTTTTAAAATATCGTGCATCACAATAAACCACTGTAACTTTTTTTCATTTACTGAAATCATTATAAGTTGCACAGTGAAAATCGCATTGTCAATGTGTGTGATTCTGTTCAGAGAAGTGAAGAATGACATTGGAACTTATCGACTGAATATGTTCAATAAATTCCTTCATACAACCTTTACTAACTGATAGATTACAAGAATCAACAGTTTTACCCCAGTTGGATTAAACATGTGTGAATATTATCTGTATATCTGCCTGTGCTCAGAATACTTGTAATATAAAAGCAATATCGAGGTAATCCCCTCAATATACACATCTACACCAAACAGACTAGTCAATCACAGTCCTAAATATCAGGTTGCAGTGTAAACACCTAAAAAGTGTCTATTTATTCAGAAAACCAATGTAAAACTACTCTTCACCTATATATCGAGCGTACTACCAGGAAACTTAACCAACAAATGAGTGAACATCTCCCAGCACGGTTAAAAGTGTTAGTCAAAAATAATACGCAGTTCGATCTTAGCACACCTGGTTGATAGTGATCATATGGTAGATAAGTCTAGATGTTTTCGGGTGATCTATCGTAAACCTTAATCATTAATACTGATTATTGATAGTTTACAGTCCTAAATATCAGGACGTAGTGTTAACACCTAATTAGTGTCTAGTTATTCAGAAAACCAATGCAAAAATACTCTTCCCCTATTGAAGATAATTTACCTCAGTTGGATTAAACATCTGTGAATATTATCGCTGTGTCTGCCTATGCTAAGAATACTTGTAATCTTAAAGCAATATCGAGGTAATCCACTCAGGATACAAATGTATACCAAACGAACTAGTCAAATACAGTCCTAAATATCAGGTTGTAGTGTTAACACCTAAATAGTTTCTAGTTATTAAGAAAACCAATGCAAAACTACTCTTCCCCTATTGAAGATAATTTGAATTAATGTGTTTTGCAATTATTTCCAAATAAAAGTAATGGTATACTACACGGAATAATATGTTAACCATTCCCCTTCAAACGACAATATTGATTATTGATAATTTATTCAATAATAAACTTATTTACAAACTAATTCATCTAACTTTCATCCCGATATTTCAATTGTCAATTCGTAGAAAAATATAGGGAATAATATTTTTACAGTTATCAAATTTTATTTTATTTCAGACTGGACCTTTATATTTTGGTACAAATTATACAGTTGTATTTAGTTTAAGATACAATTTGTCAATTAGTGGATCAATTGTAAAATTTCCAGTTTTAATTGAACTTGTGTGCAAACCATATGAACGTGACAATGCAGTGATAAACACTTGTTCACAACCGAAATTTTTCAAATTTAGATCTCGTATACATGTTGCACTTGATTATACTTGTAAGTTTTTTGAATGTGTAATGATAGTTATTAGAAATTATTGTTATTATTTGACCATCATGATGACATTGTAATGACATCATCTCTTATGGAGCATGTTCTGCTGATCAGAATTCTCCATCTCGAGTCCCCGTAAGATTTCTTTTGGTCCCAAACACGTAATACGGACAAGGGCAGGACATAGGGTTAGCTATCTTTTCTCGCAGAAAATCAGCTCGTTAAAAAACGCTAATCAGAGACAATTTCACATTAAACATTGAAACTATCAGGCCAAAGTCTGCTTGCTTTCATCTGATCAGCGACTTAATAGAGGGATTATATTTTACGAATTGGGATAGCATATGCCACTCCTGATTCTCTTCACTGATCTAGGCCTGAAATTGTTGGTGGCTCTGACGAGTCACTGTTCTAAGATGAACATTATAAAACTAGTTTCACAAAAATATTATAATATTCAATAGTCGTAACAGTCATTTGTGGATTGTGTTCTGTCTGAAGTTAAAACAAATCATGTGTCAGTTCTTTGCTTGTCATCATCTTTCAACTGTACCACTTCGATATTATACACTGTTTGGTACTACTACTACTACTACTACTACTACTGCTAATAAGAATTATGATAAGCATATTTGTGATCTTTTTTCTACTATTATATATTTTTAGTTCCTTGTGATTTACCACATTATACTGCGATGAAACATTCTGCTGTACAATTACCTAATCGTCAAACAAATACATTTCTAAATGTTGGTGATTATTTATTTTATTGTGGTCAAGCCTTCAATATCAGAGGTTCATTGGTTTTAGAGAGGCGTTGTTTCATGATTGATAAACTACCTAATAGAATATGGTTTGGTAAGTTATGCTGAGGTAAATAGATATTCATTTCTGTTTATTCATGACAGCACAGCATTACAAAATATGACTACACAAAATAAAAAAATAATTCTATAATTTTAGGTATTTCCAAATTAGTTCATAACTAATACATTCTATGAGTTCATTTCTCAGTCAGCCGATTAAAACGCAGAACTTCGTCCGTAAGTACTTCACTTCAGATTGCGCTTAAGCACAGAGAAGCAACCATCGGTTGAAATCCCATAGTGGTAGAGAAAGTAGATATATTAGTGGTAATGAATTAGATTAGGGTTCGAAGAAATCATACATGGAGTATAATCCAACGAGATAAGTTTAGAAAGAGAAAGATAGAGGTAATGATGAATTCAGAAGGTTAGAATTTGAGAAAACACAATAGTGACTGCACCTGAGTCATTGGGAATTTCGTCCCTTTTTTGTAAATTGGGAAAACCTGGGATTGAGAACATTTGGTTAGGATCACGTATCGTTCCCAGATTCTGCCAGAGATCTCGGTCAATCTGGTTGTTGATACTGACCTAACATCCCTGAAAATTTCAATAGTCAATATATCAGGCCCAGTCGCGCTATTTCTCTTTAGCATTTTCAACTTCATAAAGAGTCGGATGACTCACGTTGATTTGCCATTCAGGATGCCTGGACTTCCTGGTTAACGGAAGTGTGGCTTCAGGCAAGTTGAACTGATCCCTAAAGTGTTCCTACCCATGATCCAATCTTCTCGTTTGGAAATGAATGATAAGTTTATCCTTTTCTGAGATGGTTTCGCTAACAGATGGGTTTCTTGCCCTGGTGCCTTATATAAGGAGGAAAGGTTGTCCACTGTTGTCCATTGACGCTTCCTTTTCCATCTCGCTTGATTTCTCTACCCACCACTGTTCACGATCACTGCGTAGGCTGTTTATAAGCTCGCGCCTAAGCTGAATTCTCTCTGCATCATGTTCAGAGCAAGGTGGGATTAGTTAACGAGCGTCTATCATTTCGGTGGATGCTACTGAGATACACGGCTTCTTCCTAGCCTTATAGTTTACCTTACTAACAGATACTGCTGCTGTTTCAACAGCCATTTTGTTATCATTCCGACCTAACTTAGTGTGGTAAACGCTTACATGGTCGACTCACTGTTTCCTTAGTTGTTCCTGAAATATATTCATAAATCTGCCATCACTAGGCGGAACCATGTAAGGTTTTCGTGCGGTGTCTTTCCTACGTCTGGTTAGTCGCAAAAAAGTACGCGCTCACACCAGTGCATGATCTAAATCTAAATATGTGCCATAGAACGAGCGACAGTCGTCTTTTTAAACTATACATCGATGGCTGATTACGATATGACCAAGTTGGGTCCAGCACTGTGATGACTTCGGTGGTCGCCAGGTCAACCAATTTTGTTTCTTAGCTTGAATTAAGTGTTTGCTGGAAGTAGGCGGTTATCTGAGCATGGCTGGAACATACAGTTGCCGCAGACCGGACAGGCACACTAGCGAGCGTATATGCGAATGGGAAAATGAATGAATGAGATTAAAATGTTCGTATATAAACAGAGAAAAATGCCTAAGTCATCGTGATATTTAAGAGATTGATATTAAAGCGAATAAGATGAATATGTGCGTAGGTGTAAACAATGTTCAGTCATATCAATTCATACAAACCACACAATAATAAAAGCCAATGGCACATATGAGTTATTGTTATACAAATGGCCTGGTTAAATATATTAACCGAAAGGCTTGACCTTATAAAATGCATCCAATTCAAATATACGTGAGGTCACAACAATCTGTCCTATTAGCCGCGACACAACAAGATCCACCCATGTGTCTTTGCTATACACTTGATCTACCCCACGTGAACGTTAGTCTCCAGCCAATATCACTATATCAGAGCGCTTAACATTTTCGAGAAGTTTAGAGAGGTTTCTATAAAACTTATCGCTCATGCTGTCTGAACTGCAGTCAGTGAAGCGTAGGCAGATATGACGTAAAGTCAACAACGAGTGTCCTTGTCTTTCCGAGTCCTCCCTACTGTCCCGTTTAGTCGAACAGCGCACAAGCAAGACCCCGGGAAGCAGCATCAGGTTTTACGGTGTTGCTTCTCTGTCTTGACATGGAGAGGTGAAGTGAACGATGCTACCTGGATCCTGTATGCGCGCTTAGGAGACGCGGCATGCATTGTTGGCGCGAGACTTTTAAGTCTTAGCTCATGATTCCTGTTGTCCTATTTAACACGATGTCTCTAAATTAAAAGCTCCAACATGTAGTTGAGAAAGTGGTTTTAGTCAACCTGGAAAAACGTTTCAGGTACTAGAATCTTGTGCATCAGCGGTGCGGCGTGATAACAGAATGTAAGAAGAGTTATTCGTGGTGATGCTAAGGGTGTGGGAAGGATTTGATTGTGACTATTTTGTTCTCGTGCGCTGTTAGGATTATGAGAACAGCTGTCAATTTCCGGCTGCCTGTATCGTGTAAGGGTCTTCTTGAGATATCTGAAATTAAGGTAGATTAGTGTTAGCCTAAGAAATCCAGGAGCGTTATCTTAGAGCTCTTTTTGAAAGACCTTACCGTCGGAGGCTGGAATATAAGAGGTAGAGAGAGGTGTGGCATTTTTAGGGTCGACATTGTCTAACCTCTCCTCCTGTATGAGAAGGCAGCCCAGCTGCAGACGGTAGTTGTCCGAGTCTATTATCTTATTATCTTATTATCTATTATCTTATTGCTATCACACATCTTTACAGTCAAGGAATTTGCATTCAGAGCTTTAGTAGCTGGTTTTAGTCTCATTGTTCGCCTATTGAACTGCCTGGCATAGCGGAACCTACAGGAACATATGTTCCATTTAATGTAGCTCAGTGTTTTAATTCTAGTGTTGTGAGGATTGTTTTGTATTATTGGAATCATGAATCGATCATTGTTAGAAAACCAGTAGGAATCTGGAGGCACTAGATAGCAATTTCAGCCTAGCATGAGACTTATCATCCTAGTCTCGAGAATCAAACCAAGAAACTTCGATCTCAAGCGCAAACGCCTAACCTCTAGACTACTGAGCTAACATCCGATGGTGTAATGCTTAACTGTAATCTCACAATGTAAGAATCATGATTTCAATGATATTCTTTTGGAATAGCTTTTAATCTGTATTGATTTGTATAAAATCGATACTACTAAAAGAGCTTATCATTAGTCAGACTGTACTAATGTCATTCGTTAAATAGGTTTTATTGTACCAACATCTACTCACAGTATTTCGTAAAATATTTTTTCATGGTAAAGTAAACACACACATTTATACCATAGTGAATCTATCGTTTGCTGTGCATTCGCAGTGTGTTACACATTTCATAATATGTCGTTGAATAATCACTAATACTTAATAAAGCTATCAATGCAACTAAACCAGTTGAATAAAGTAATGACACAAATCTCAAAAAGAAGTAAGTTGACTCTATACATAAAAGTATTGTATTTCTTTAGTTATAATTAATTCAGCTGATAATTTGATTTTTGAGAAATGAAAAAATTCCCATAGAAAAACACATTTATAAACGTCAATTTATTTAAGCAAATGTGTACTGGCACAGTACTGACATAGAATACTGCCACGACGCCCCGACTGAAGCAGGTGGTTGTCTAAAACTTCTATGTACAAGGCAATGGAGCAGTGTTAGAACGTACAGTCTCATGGTGGCAGCACATCACTAGTTTGAAATCAGGCAGTTTTAATCCCTGCAAGCGGATCCTCTATACTGAGAAATTCGTTTAAAGTTCCAGACATTCATATATCGTCCTTTGAACTTCGTAAACAATACTGTCGCCAAGAGATGACAGTGATTGTAACTTCCTTGACAATGACTGTATATGTGTGGCCGTGTAAGAGCCTTTATCGAAAGAAAACAGACTCGACAGACTGTCAGCCATACCAAGTTACTGTGGCAGATGGATGATTTCATTAGGGAAGGGCAATAACTTTTATCCACTGTCCTATTCTCCTGAATGACTTAGTTATGTCAATCGTAAAAAATAGTCAACAAACAAATTGGTGCACCTTTGTATTTTACTTAAACAAGATTTGAAATCAAATAAATCATTATTCAATATTCGTTCCATTCGTATCAAAATTCAAATTAATCTAACCTGATATTTTGTCAATTCACAGATATGGGACCATTGGTTGATCAGATAATAGCATATACAAAGCCATCTGGTTTATTGTTTGGTATGGGAGCTAATGGTGGAGGTGTATTATTGAGTAATAATTTCGGGAAGACTTGGCTTACAGTCAACCCCTACGTATATCAGAGAACCTTGAACACGTCAACAGAAATCGTCACTGCAAATATAGTGCCATGGATTTCAGTGACAGGACCAATTGACAGTACATTGATGGAGTCATTTTGCAAGTTACAGGTGGCTGGAAAATGGAATGGTAAATAATATTCAGTTATCAATAAAAACTTGCTTATACCGGATTTCTTACAATTTAATATGAGAGTGTGAAATATTCTGACGATATCCATTATTATTGAGTCTTTGCAGCATATATAATGACATGTGCTTTTGTGTTTTGAACTAGTCAACCACAGTCACACAACATGTGGTATACATGACTTTCATTTCAAAGATAACAGATTTTCTGACAAATGAAGTACTTTATTATCACTCAGTTGGTGTTGTCATCGGTCCTGTAGTTAGAGCAATTAGAAAATGATAACCGAGGCCAGAATTGTAAAAATTCGTTTGAATCATTTAGTTAAATTTTAACCATATATATAGATATATGATATTGTTATAGCCTATAGATTGATTTATTCTATGCTCGTTGATTCTAAAGTTATAACTCTGCATACAATGTTTAATAATTTGGTCTGATTTGGCCGAATAAATTTGTTTTCTCAGATAAAGTCAATTATTATTGACAGTATTACTGAAATGATATTAGTGAATATACAAAATATCAGGAATATTTATTACATGCCTAAAACTGATCAGTTGGTAGTAAAAGTGTTATGATCAAATAAGTAATTCGGTGATTTATACTCTTCAAAAGTATACTTTGAAGTTATTAACCGATCAGTGTTAGATCACCAATAAAATCATGGAAGCAGAAGTTTTGTCTCGCCATATGACTGGTCAGCAGTGCGAACATCCAGTGACTGGCTCGGTGAGAAATTTCATCCGAGTTACGATGAAAAAACTTGACCAGTAAATTTCAACCCTGTTCGGCTGTAGAGCAGTGCATACCGACGACAATGCGTGGGGGTGCACAAAACTGTGGGATAAAGGAAGTTACATAACAACATTGCTTTATGTTGCATCTATGGTCAAGAGGTAAGGGGGTCGCGCGCAAGACCGAAAGTCTTGAGTTCCATTCTTGCGAAAGGTAGGGCGTGCTTCCTCACTGTTCAAGGAACTCATACTAAGACTTATTGGCCGTCCGTTGTTTCCATGTGTTTTTAATAGTGGTCTAAATTTGATAAATTGATGATTTAAAAGTAAATAAAAAGCTCTGCGAACATTTAGTGAAAAATATGTTCATTGAAATATTTAACATATGATCTGAGGTTTTAATACTTAAAAGAATTTACCGTTCAATTTTTTATGTGAACAACTGTTTGATCTTGTATAATTTATAATTCAATTCTTTTAGTTTGTATCAATGCAATTTATGCAAATGAATTTTTATTGGCTAATTGGACTTACACTTGTCCAAATATTAAACGTTTATTCTAAATCAAACAATTCGTTAACATAAACATCTCAATTTTGTTTACAATTATTTGTAATTTTGAATTGTGCTGTATTCATTGCTGGTGTTTTGATGTATCAATGAATCGAGTAGTTTATTTCTACTTAAATTATATATGGTGTTGCTTATCCTCTGTTCAGTCGTTATTATCGTTGTATAACTTCACTATAGTTCGCTTGGACCAAGTAACGTTTAAAATGAAAATGAAACAGACTGTGGACTATGTCGATTTATATCTCGAGGTGAAAACAAAATATCAGATGTGGGTACATCCGACCGGAGTATTCTAAATACAAAGAAACGCTCATTCAGGACATCAAAGCTAGTAATTATACACTTTTGAGAATAACACTTGTAAACTAAATGTGATATTTAGGCCAGCGCACACGATGAGCTTAGCCAAACAGACTGATCAATTTTAGTCCTGAACATCATTAGGATTATCCAAACAACCAATACAAATGAATGAATATTAGTCGAATTTTTACTGTGAAATAATGGGCTGAGTAATTAATTTTAGTGGTGATGCGTGGAAGAGTCCTTATTATTAGTAGACCGAAATACTAAGATAAATTTTGTTCAGTGAATGATAAATTGAGGATGATTCGTTTCACAAGAGGTGACTCACAAAATCACTAATTCGGAAATCACTGGACTACTGTTTTGCCTTTATATAAAAGACTCTGTAGGAGTATGCGCACAGAATTCAAAATATTTATATATTATTGAGAAAGAAAGAGAGAATAACGTTGAGGCAAACGAATTCACATTTACGGTCTGTCTGATCAGATTCATTCCATTCAGATTATTTTGGAACTTTTGGTTATTATAACTGAAATATCTTCACCAGTCTTGAGAAAATAGGTTTTAGTAATATTGATTCGACCAGTATTTATACACGGTTTGCAACGAAACCAATAATGAAAGCCTTAATTTCGATTAGTTAGTCGTCATCAAATGTGTGGAATGTTTAGACTTGATAGAGTGGTCACACTTTCATTGACTCTGTGTTTGTTATTGTTCGCTTACTTGATTACTTAAGCCAGTAACACCGAATGAATCATAGGTAGCCAAAACGTATTCTCTAACCTACTCTGTTCTAGATCTGTCATTCCAGTTCAGTCCAGTTTAGTTCATTCTTCTCATGTGCGTTTTTATTTCTCAGTGTTATGTGCATTTTGGTCTTCCTCCTTTCTTTTGATGTTGAAATTCCCAAGTAAGCGGTTGCTTTGTGTCTCCGTTGAGTGGTTTCCTCGAGTGTGTCAATTAGCGCATAGGCAAATTGATGAATGAAGTGAAACCCAGAAGGCTTGTGAGCTAACTCAAATATGTAACGCATAACTGAGAATGTTTAGTCTGACAGAATTAAAGGCGGACATGTTTTAAGCAAGATAGACAGGCTTACACATGATTGAAAGCGACGAATGATGGACAAGGTCAACAGACAAGTGGTGAGAGCCATGTGAGCTAGACATTGAATGACTCACTGCATTGTCTCTCACGCAGTAGGTTGTTGATGATGATGTCTGGCCAACGGATTCGAAGTATTTTGCGTAGATAACTATGTTCACTCAGGCATACCTAGTCAGAATACAAAAGCGATTGGGATATCGTGTTTACACCACAAAACATTTCCATATCAAAAGAGATCATTTGATTAAGCCTAGAATGCACATAGTGCAGAAACCAAATGATAACTTATACCACTTTGAAGAAATTATGCCTATCATGAGTCAATAATATATAAAATATTGCTCTCCTGTTTGAACATCAAACAGTTCTGATCAGAAGTGTGTCGTCGACGCCGATAATATGATAATGCAAACCTTTTGTTATAATGTTGTAAATATTTTATCGTTTACACAAGTAAGTGGCTTTCTGATTGATGTAGCTCAGGTAATAATGCAATCGACTTTGAAATAAAAAGGTTACTATGCTTGAATCCTGGTTGTAGATTCAAACTTGAAGTGGTGATGGAACTTGCCTATCTTAATGACCCATGAAGGTATTTTGGTTTGAAAATATATTCCATTGCAGTTAGGTCGATCGGAGAACGGTGAGACTAAAAGCAGCAACTTAGGTTCTGAGTAGAAAGTCGTACCGTTGCCAGAAGAGTGCTTTCAAGTCAATAAGGCGTTTCCTTTGTACAAACAACATCTTGAACGATGCTTCCTTCTCAGAAACAAAGAAGTGATAAGATACGACTTCCTAATATGATTATTGTGTTGACATGCTATTGTAAATTACTACGGACTGCAGAGTCTATAATGACCATCGACCATTAAAATGTTGTGTTTAAACGAAAACGTGAACATCAATCCATTAAGATATTTAGTTCTGTCTGTCCGTTTCAAATGTGTCGAAAGTCATTCAAAATAATTCGAAATTGCCAGTATAATTTAAACATTTCAGATGTTTAAACCCAGTTGATATGAGTTCTTGCATTTGGATTTCGTGTTATAACACACACCTTAGAGGTTACTCACACTCAAAATCTCACCACTCACACAACTTCCTAGTTTCAGACATTAATCAAAATCCAGTGCGATCAATTCATATAGATACGCAAAGTGTTATCATGAAAATCATTCAGCTCTATTAGTGAAAAATGTATCCTTCTAAAACGCTGGGTGTGAATCGACAGAGTAATCCACTCAAAAGCATGTTCACTACGAGATTCAAAACACTTTTGATTGATGTGGGCAGTTAGCCCTGGTCGGCAGTGGAGTGCTTCGGGACTCTGAGTTAATGTTCATGCTCAAGCTCATGCACCTAACTCATGATAAACTCAACTACTGAGTTTAATTTACAACTTATCCATGTTTGGGGTAAAATATGTATCTCATCGTTGTAAAGGTTCATTATAATACTTGTATCGATGTTCTCAGTTGAATTGAGATCAGCGTTCGCTAATGCATGTATGTTTATTCTATTTAGACTATCTAGATGTAGTCATTCTGTTATAATTTATACATAAACGAGTCGAGAATAAAATCTTTGTTAGTTGAGCTTTTCTCCAAAGCCTAATCGGATTCCAGTGGAATTCTCGGAACATTAAATTCAACGGAGCTAGAAAAGGATTATCGACAGTTACACTTTTACCGGTTTGGTAGGACGAAAAACTCCTTTGTTTGATTATTCTCAGCGTTATTTATGAACGTTTGTACTCATCACACTACTAATTATTATTTAAAGTCGTTTCTGAAATCCGGCTCCATTTATCCCGTCCATACTTCCATACCATTTCTAAGATTAGATCAGCATTCGTATGTCGATATTCGTCACACTCAACTAGCTGTCCAGTTTTAGACGATCCTCAAGTTAGAAAATAATTTTCTATGTCCTGCCTAATAATGGTTCGATCCCTTATCCCCAAGAAATTATATTTCAGGCGTGATTGTTGACCCGAAATCTGATGCTATTAATTATTTTCTCTAATCCAACTTATTGAAAGTCTTGCCAGCACTGTCAATGTATGTGCTACAAATAATTAATAGACTGAGTATCTTATTCAGTTCCTCAAACTACCAAACAGAACACTAGAAATAACAGATAAGTGACTCACAATACTTTGCAGTATCCAGTTTTTGAACGCATCTGACTGTGAAATTGATGTACCACAATATAACATGCTGAATAATAGATCGTGATATTCACAAATCTGGAACATTGATGGAACTAGATTGATGGCTTAGGTAACTAGGAATTTATCGCGGTTTGTGATCAGGAGAAAAACATTATTACAATTGATGGAATTCGCAGTTGAGCCAAGAAGCCAAACCTGACTATCAATTGTTGAAAATGTAGATAACGAATCAGCGGAGAATCACTTCAAATTGTTCATCCTTAATAGATAAACTCGGTTGTTCTAAGATTTCTTACTGATTTGTGACATACATTTTCGTGATAAATTCATAAGAATTTCCTTCTAACTGAGCTTCTAAGCAATGTATACACCGCATGTTTTGGTGTTATTATAGAACTAAATACAAGTAAGTAAGCCATCTTCATAACTGTCTAAATTTTCCTCATATCTCAGTGTAGTTAACTGTCCATTAAGATGAAATTTTGTAATATTCTTGTTACTTGATTCAGCAAAACATAAACGAAACTTATAAGGATACATTTTAATTGCTGCCAGCCGCATAGATGCTCAAAAAGTGATGTCTTCAGACTGTTCACCATGAATAACTGATTGTTACCGTTTCCGACTAGGTGACACGGAATGGAGTTCCTTTAAATCATGCTAGGATTATAATTGGACAACAAGACTGAAAAAATGCCTTCATATTGGTGTTTTAACATCATTAAGTTTTAGCTCAGCACCACATATTGTCTAATTTATCTAGTTTCATAACTCGTAGTTTTGTCAACATAATTTTTACTTGATATTATTCTGACAGTCAAAATGTCAAAGCTTTAGTACTATATATACCGATAAATTTCCCTGATTTATGCAGCTGTGTCCCAACAGCTGTATCTTATGAGAAAGCAACATAACAGGTTTCATAGTAGCATGCTCATGATCCATGATTTCATGATTCATAGTTATCATCATTGACTTTGTTATCCACGGCTACACTGTTGTGTGTCAACCTAATAATCTAGGTTGTATTTTGTCACTCGACTTGTAATTTTGATTTTCTTAACCGTGCAAGTTCACATGTTGTAATACAGACAGACTATAGCCAATTGTTGTCCTCTACTATTTCCTAGTGTTTTTTCAACTGTCATGAAGTTTGAGAAATCACATGAAGATATTTGACGAGAATACGTTTGTACAGCCAAACAAAATTGTTCTGTATGTTGTCAGGAGATTGGTAGACAAACATGGGAATGAAAAGTGTAAAAGCAAAGCAAAGTGAAACAAATTGAAGGCGAGTGAGCCAACTCCACTTGATAAGACATGATTAACTACTATTTATGATCAGACATGTGGCGGCATTGCTCACAGCTATGCTTTGGATGTTTGCTTATTGGTTTA